GGGTTATAGGTATAATATACCCCTCTACTATGACGTTTTATCAAACATGCCTCTCTACTATTTTTTACATCAAACATGCCCATGTACTTTGTGAAAATGATCAAACATGCCATTTTGTTAAAATTTTCATCCAAAAATCGTTAACCAAGGTCGAACTTTAGTTTGGGCGACACAAATGACTAAAATATCCCTAATAAATTCACTTTATAATTTTTTTGGCTCTTTTGTATAATCAAATCATTCAAATAATTTCACTTTGAAAAGACCCAGGGAAATAAAACAGGGGACAAAACTGACATTTTTCCTCACATTTGCCTATGTCGGGTCGTCTAAATCTCGGTTCAACCACGATTGACGATTTTTTCAATGGAAATTTTAATAGAAGGGCATGTTTGATAATTTTTTCAAAGTACAGGGGCATAATTGATGTAAAAAATAGTAGAGGGGCATGTTTGATAATACATCATAGTAGAGGGGCATATTATACCTATAACCCTATATTTTTTTAAACATCACACCAATTCATGAGTAATTTTATCATTTTGTGAGTGCGGGTCTAAGGGGTCGACCCGCTAACCCACCCAACATGACCTAGAAAATAACGGGTTAATCAGATTTGGGTCATTCGGATTTCGGATTATAACTTCTTCTATTTTTTGGGAAGGTTCGGGCCAGGTCAACTGGTCATATGCCGTAATTTGTCAGGTTTAACACATTGTTTCTTGAAAATTGCATTTTTGTACTCAAACTTATTTTTTTCTTACAATTTAGTATCTTAACTTTATGTTTTGACAAAAAGTCCATTAATTAGGCTGGTAATATTACATTTTAGTACCTTAATATTTTTTTACCTTGTATTATAGTACCTAAATTTTGCTGGCAACTTTATGTTTTTATATAAGAAATATCATATACACCACTAAATGACTCTACCTTACAGGATCATAAGATGACCTAACCCTCAAGAAAGTAGGATATGGTAATCCTAGCTTATCCCCTATGGGAAGTCCCTCCGAACGAGACTTGCCTAAAATTTTAGGATTTTTTCATACTAGCTAAATCTAAGCAATGTTTGTGAAACAGTATTGTCGAGTCTATTAAATTTTTCTTCATCTCCATCCGTTTTGTCAAATTTAGTTGATCGTTGTAAGGCCATAAATTGAGCTTTTACCAACCTGATTTTCCAATAGGAGACCTTCTGCCAGCTGACGCCTTATCACACTCTTACACTTTATGCTAATCCAACCTTCTGACTCCAATAAAAAAAATTTTGGCCTTCTGACATTGAGAAATCTCATCGCCAAGGATGGTTGGAGGGATAGTGTAATAGGGGCCATTCTGGGAGAAAATTGAATAAATTACTAAAATAGGTCTAGTAGTTGATTTAGAGTGAAAATTAAAGTGCTTCTAATTGAGAATGGTTGACGATAATGGTAAAATCAATATACTGAGATCGGGTAAACGGAAAAATAGAGGGACTCCTTTGTTATATATCCATAATACATGGGTTCATTTGTTATCATCTATAGTATAGGAGGTTATGTGCTATTAATTCTAAATTTTTCATTGCAATTTACGAAATGTTATATTTTCCAATCCGACAAATGTAGATTATCGTTTTATGATGTCTGATTTCATTGCACCACTTTGGTATAAACACGAAAAATTAACCACTCCTGTCCCAAACAAAGGAAAAATGAATCCCAAGATAAAACTAATAATTCCACTTGCTGTCGTCACTTTGATTTTTCAATCTCTACAAATGTTTACTTCCCCAACGCTAAATCATTGTTGATATATAAAAAGCATTATTCCCAATGCACTATCCCAAAGCGTTCAACTATAATTATTGCAAACTTTATGAGTAATCTCCAAATAAGTCCATTTTCCTTTTTCTTTTCTTTTCTTTTATATTATATTATATTTTTATCTTTTATTTACCTTTCATTTGTTCTTTTCCATAATTTAGGGTTGCTATTTTTCTAAGAGGTTTTTTTTTCTTTTATCATTGTTGAAACCAATATTTTTGTTCGTATTTGATTTTGCATTCTTACGCATCTTTCTCACTTGCTCGAATAGAAAAAAATGAAAAAAATCTTTCACTCGCCATTAAAGATGACGAAAGTGACCTCTAAATTGATGAAACCAAATACTACATTCTTTCGTCTTTTTTCCTCTGCTTTGATTGATTTTCCCATGTTCTCTATCTCTTCTTTTCCATCTTAGTTGAGAGTCCAGGTCAATTTTGAGTTTTTTTTTCGTGGGGATTGAAGGGGGACAATCTCGCATTCGATGGATGTCTTGGCAAAATATGTGTCGAAGCAAGCATGATGGAAGAATGAGTTTTCGACGATTCGAGCATTTTAATCAGTCCATTTTGACCAAAATTGGGTGGAGGATCCTTAACCAACCTTAGTCCCTCGTGGTCCAGGTCCATAAGGGAAAGTATTTCTCAACAGGGCCCTTCTTCATTACTATGGCGCATTCACAAACCTCATTGGACTGGCAGAGTGTCCTTTATGGTCGCCAATTGCTCCGGCAAATGTTGCGCTGATAAATCAGCAATGGTCATACAACATTCATTAAGAATTCCATCTGGGTTCCTAGGTTGCATCTACACGCCCCCTGCACCCCTCAGGTGATACCAGAGGGAAGTGATCCAACAATAGCAAAACTAATGATGCCAGGGGAAGGACGATGGAATGATGACATACCCAATCACTTGTTCCCGCTAGAGGCAGTGCGAACAAATAAAGAAATCCTACTGCCTCGTCAGGATATAGAGGACTCGCTAATATTGCATGATACCAGTGATGAAGTGTTCATCGTTAAATATGCTTATCACCTAGCGGCCATGATTGATCATAGGCGAAGCAGGTGGCGACAGACTGTCAGTTGGTGGCGACAGACTGTTCATCGTTAAATATGCTTTCAATCGCATTCTCCCAACCACGAAAGCTCTGATTAAGAAGGAGGTCCAAGTGCTACCTCGATGACCGGTATGCATGGCGGACTCAGAGACAATGGAGAATCTCTTTCTTGACTGTCCAGTGGCAAGGGCAATATGAGATCACTCTGACCTAGAATATCTAGGCCAAGGTCTCCCTCACAAAAATTTCCTACTTTTTCTCAAAAAGTTGATGTTACTCCTCAATCAACCCCATCAGAGTATGATTGTTGTCGCGACCCTCTGACGAATCTGGAAATCTAGGAATTGGGTTGTCTTTGAAGATAAACAATTTCAGTTTATATCTATGATGCTGCAGTATCATCAACAAGTTAATGAATAGATCGGTTTACCAACTGACAGAGCGACCTCAGCTCCCCCCAAGATTGAGAGCGCGATTACTTCAAACCTTGTCTCGCTTACTTTCAGGCCGGATGGTGCAACAAGGAATGAATCACACTCGGCGAGAGGAATGGTTATAAAAGACTAGAGTGGGTCGATTGTCTTGGCTAGGCGAGTTCATATTGATAAAATTGATGACCCATCGATGGAAGAACTATTAGTCCTCCTTCGAGGCCATCCAGTACCGTCTTGGATTGTGGCATCTCGTAGGTTCGTTTTAAAGGGGGCGTGAAAGTGGTCATTAATAAGATAAACCAGGGCGATAAACCTGATAATCACTTTGGAGTCATTCTCGAGGAAGTTTTTTGTTTTTTGGCAATTCGTAATGGTCTTAACGTACGATTTGCATGTTGGAATAGCAATAGGGTAACCCACTTTGTTGCTAGAAAGACCTTTTCTTTGTAGCTTATTATGTGTCGCTCTTTTGATTTTCTGTCCTAGGTGTATTCCAGAATGTAATGTGTTCGATATTTTTTTTTAATCAATATTATCTTAGTGAAAATTTTTTGATTGAATTATTAGGATACACATATGGGCCGAAAACACCTGATGCACGACAAGATCCCACACAGACAATTTGTGGTTTCACTTTCACAAGTTACCTCTATGGGGCACCTCTTTTTCACACAAGCGCACTAAGACGGTAAAATGACAAAAGCTAAACAATAACAATTTGTCAAAACTTATTAACAAATCATTTTCTGGTTGCGTCAAAATATCTCTACCCAAATTCATCTTTTTAGCTGTCATTCAACACACTTTGCTCTGCTTCCCCCTTCCCTACCCTTTTGTACAGCTGTGATCCTCTTTATCACAGGATGTATGAATGCATATACGTATTTGTTTCTTTATTTTTTTATATAGTTTCTCACGTGTTATTGCCCTACGAAGCTGATTGTTTTAAGGGAATTCGGGAAAGAGTTGCCCTAAAAAACAGAGCAACGGAAGCAGAGCCTCTTCCCCTGTTTTCCATATTTCACTTCAAAAGTTGGGAGTGCTTGAAGCTGTAAAGCAGGTCCCAGCTTCCTGTTGCCTTCCCAATTCTCCAAACAAACAAACAAACTTTTTTGAAGTTTCATTTATGAAATAGCAAAAATATCCCCTATAACGTGACTGTGACTAAGTGAAATTTTTGAGTAGATGTGGTCTATATCTTCCCACTTGTTCCTCAAACAAAATGTCTGGGATTTCATGTAATTCTAGTATTTGTACTAAAAATAAGAGGTTATATTGGAAAAATCAACGGCGATAAAGATATTTTAAATTGAAATTGTAGTTTAATCACGATTCAATTATTTCATACCGTTAAAAACCGCCTACCAATTTAGACTCCGATAAACAATTTTCGTGGACCGTCGGTACGACACGCTTTTACAAGCACCGCAAATAATAGGGTGTTTTTCTTGACTAGGATGATCGGATGACCAGCCTTCTAGCCTACCCAATATACTTTTGGGGAAGTAGCTTCTTGTTACGTTCTTAACCGGTCTTGTAAAATAAATAATACCCTGACCTTGAGGGAAAGCTAACAAAACGTGGTTAAGTTAATAACAAGTTTGGACCAAACAAAAAGAAGAAGAAAAAAGAGAGAGAGGAGAGGAGAGTTTTAAAATAAGATTCAGAAAGATAGAAGAAGCAAAGAGGAAGAAGATGACAGGACAGCCAATGGATTTCTCCGGCTATATAAACCCATTCTCAGGCCTCCGTTTTTCCTCCCCCCGCCTCTCCCTCTTACCTCTTCACACCACCACTGTTCCATTTCTCTCTCGATCGCCTCTGTTTTCTCTTTCCCCTGCTCTGTCCTGGACAAAACAGAGTGAAAGAAAAAAAAAGCTCCAACACCCAGGTAGATTGGAATGAATTTCCCCTCTTCCACATGTGTCTCTGGTTCGAGTTTCCCATTTTCGATTCCAACCCATCAAAATATGAAGGATTTCACCTTCTGGGCTTTCATTTTTCTTGGGACTTAATAGTTAAGAACCATGGAAGATCAATGTTCAAAAGTTTCCAACTTTTTTCTCTCCCCTGTTTTTCACCGTACGCCATTGAAGCAAGCAAGCAGCTCCTTTTTTGCTAATAAACAATTGAGTTTCCTGAAACCAATCACCCAAAACACACAAAAGGCGCCCCCTTTTTCTGCTTTTTGGAAAGACAAAGTTTCATTTTACAAGTCGGACCTTTCTGAGTTCGCAAAACCCTTACATGCCAAATTGGACAGAGAATCCAGCATCAGAAAGTCATTGGCCCAATTCATCACCGAATGATTCAGTTCCATTCAGTCGTGGATTGTCCACTCAATTAGCCTTACTAACTACGCCTTATCCCTTTTTCCCTGCTTTGCATGGAATTGGGGCCATGGATTGCCCACTCCTTTATCGACCGTCCCCTGTTTATTTGGTGCTGTTCTGAGTCGACAAAGTGCCACAAATAGCCACTTTTCCTTCAGCTGGCCTTACTATTTATAGTCTTGTTCGCTTGCATACTATTGATCCCTCACCATTTCCTGTAATCTTTTTCTTCCCCTGTCAAGGTTAATCGCTCAAGATGGAGTACGAAAACTGCTACCTTCAAGCTCAGAGGCCCAAATACGATTGCCTTCTATTCGGTAAGTTCTCTTTGCTACCCTGGAAAACTAATCATTTCGGTTTCACTAATCTCAGCTCAACTGACCCCATTGATTGGAAATGAATTATGTTTGCAGATCTAGATGATACCCTTTATCCTTACAGCTCTGGCCTTGCAGCAGCATGTGGGCAGAACATCAAAGGCAAGTCTCCAAGCTTTCTCTAATGGCGATGAATCAATACATGTCTCATAGTTTTCAAATTCTGAAATTTGGGTGTTTCCGTTTTTTTGTGTTGCAGATTACATGGTGGAACACTTGGGCATTGACAGGAACAAAATAGTGGAGCTGGGCAATCTGCTGTACAAAAACTTCGGCACAACCATGGCTGGTCTCCGGGCCATTGGCTACGACTTCGATTATGATGAGTACCACAGGTAGAATTAGATACAATTAATCGATCAATCTAGCTGAAACATCTAGTCTTATCTAATCTAATCACGTTTGGATCCTCTGTTTTCTTTCCCCAGCTTCGTTCATGGCAGATTACCTTACGAGAATCTGAAGCCCGACCCTGTTCTTAGAAGCCTGCTGCTGAGCCTCCCGTTCCGCAAAGTTGTAAGTGCTGAAACAGAATTTTAACCCCAAACATCCTCATATTCTTCGTTACTTTTTCACTGACGGTAAAAATAAAAATGAAAAACAAACAAACAACGCAGATATTCACTAATGCGGACAAAGTTCACGCACTCAAGGCGCTGAGCAGGCTGGGATTAGAGGATTGCTTCGAAGGGATAATCTGCTTCGAGACACTTAATCCCACCCACAAGACCGCAGCTTCTGATGACGAGGACGACGTCGCTTTCGTGGGCCCGGACTCATCCGCCGCCGCCAACGCAACAACAGCTCCTCCTCCTCCAACCCACCACAATAATTCCCCTGCCCCTGTTGAAATCTTCGACATTATTGCCCACTTCGCCAATAACCCTAACAGCAACAGCAACAGCAACAGCAACAACAGTACCTTGCTCCCCAAGTCACCCATTGTGTGCAAGCCATCGGAAGCCGCCATCGAACGCGCCCTCAACATCGCCAATCTCAACCCACAGAGAACCGTAAGCAAACCCTAACAACCAACATTAATGAATCCAACTTTGTACTTTTTCTAACAATAATCGGTTATTGTTCCCAGTTGTTCTTCGAAGATAGCGTGAGGAACATTCAATCCGGGAAGCGGGTCGGGCTGCACACCGTGCTGGTTGGGACCTCGCAGCGGGTCAAAGGAGCGGATTACGCACTGGAGAGCATCCACAACCTGAGGGAGGCGATTCCTGAGCTCTGGGAATTAGCAGACATTGTTACCATCAAATCGCCTTCAGACAAAGTTGCTGTTGAACAATCGGTCACAGCTTAATTTCACCAAGATCAAACCACCCCCAAAAAACTTGGGGATCACAGAAAAAAAAAAGAAGGGAAAAAAAGGTTGAAATCATTGATTGATGGATTGGCCCCCATCCATCCATGGAAGCTCTTGTTATGATCACACAAAGTTAATGGTGACCCAATTTCCTCCTCCACATATATCATCATCATGTAGCTGTAGTGATGCTCCCTTTCTCCTCTGTCTCTATCCGATCATATATATTAGTATATAATAAGAAACCCATGAAAAATATATGAGAGAAAATAAAAAGAAGAATTTCCCCCCCACCTCCATCATCGTTGCTTGTTGAAATCAGTGGAGTCATTATCAACCACATCGTCACTCACTCACTCACTCTGCCAATCATTGATTGAAAAAAGAAGTAACACGCAAGAGTTTCAAACTCTCTAAATCGGTAATCCTATTTTTTTGTTCGGTTTCTAACATTAATTTATCGGTCCTTGAGATTGCGAGTTAACGACACCTGTAGTGAAATCTGGTACGGGGAAACCGAATCTGGTGGTGTGCATCAAAGATAATACAGCAAGAACCGGATCAACATATGACATGGGCGGATGGGGGATTTCGTTTTAGCCTTGATTAGTAAATAAATAAACTACTGCAATTATTGGGGCTGCCTTGCCTTCCCTTCCCCCATGCATTATTTTAAGGTTGGTCTGTTGCTTAAGCAACAAATTTTTTTTTTATCACATAAAAAGCCAGCAACACATTTTCAGATACTTGTGCGGAAGGGAAATGCTATACGACAGGATAATGGGATCTTTTTCCCCTCAATTTTGAGATGAGCTAGTTAGTTGTTAATTATCGGTATTTGGTATTATAATATTTGCATTGAAGAGAGACGCGATCAAGCATAAACAACTCCAACCAGCCAGAAATGATTTTGATCATGAATCGTTGTTCCGAAAAAGCGGTTTAAATTGTACGCTAGAGAAAGCCATGATTAACTAATGGTAAACCGATGTCTCCTTATAACGTAAGTCGTGGCTGTCTAGCGCGTGATGTTCCTTATATATATTTTTTTTCCTCCCGACATGTTTTAGTATTGGTTAGCTGTTCGGTCGGTTTGATTTTGCTGGATCTTATACCACTCTCTGACACAAACCCCTGGGACATTCAATATGAACTATAAATTTGATTCACCACAAGGTTTGACGTGTCCGAACAAAGTTCAAACTCATGAGTTGGGTTTTTATTCTTTTTTTTTTCAACAACTAATATTATTGGGATGAACTGGATCTCAATACAACGATGGTTCGATCCCATTATTTCTACTATTTGTGTTGGATCTGATGGGTTTTTTTAGAAAGACTTGATTTGGTTTCAATTCCTAAATATAAGAGAATTGTGTTTGTTTATTATTTATTTAATTTTTACATACATCAAATACGAGAAAGAAATGAATTAACCCAAATTGAATTGCTTGCATTTTCAATCCTTGTCCTCCCTCCTTCTACATTTTATCCAGCAGGGGGGATCAATTCGATCCAAAATCTGAACCAAATAGAGCCAATTTGTCCTGTCACTAAATACAAGCCAGGCTAGAGTCCAGAGAGCTAGCTGGCACACAATGAATAGATGGAGCAGGGGCGCCATTGGCCATTTCTGATGGTTGTAAAAGTTGCAACCTAACAAAAGCTTATCAGCTGGCAATGGAAAGTACCATAATCATTCATGGGATACGGAAATTGAACTCTCGTCCTCCTCTGCCCAGCTTTTCTCTTCTTTCTTTCTTTCTTTCTTCTTTTACTTTTCATGTTTGGCCTTCATGATCATCATCATATTCATGTATAGAGTGAGGATTGGTTGTCAAAACCGTACTAAGGCTGTACGTGGATTAATAATGGACTCGCTTTTGTCACATTGTTCTATCCATCCATCCATCCAAGTAAGTTTGCATTGAATCTGACCTACTACTACTACTACTACAGTACTACCTCCTCCATCTCCCCACACCAGCCAAATTGGATTCATAACTAATAATTATTAGAATTCATTGGTTTTTTACATGATATTAGATGCTTCGATTAAAAGGTATCGACGTTTCACGTTCAAATATCCACATAACTCAACATTCGGAATTAATTTAAATACAAGGTATACAAGGTTGTGACTTGTGAGCAAATTCAAGCTTTGATCTAATTGGATTCATAACTAATACTTATTAGAATTCATTGGTTTTTGACATGATATTAGATGTTTCGATTAAAAGGTATCGACGTTTCACGTTCAAATATCCACATAACTCAACATTCAGAATTAATTTAAATACAAGGTATACAAGGTTGTGACTTGTGAGCAAATTCAAGCTTTGAGAAGATCATTAGAATGCATTCCTTCATCATTACACTCACCAACATCAATGCTATTGTGCTTGAAGATCATTAGAATGCATTCCTTCATCATTACACTCGCAATTAAATTTAAGCACAAAGGCATGTATTTGGTGAATGTAAATTTCAAGCTTTGAGTTGGCCAACTCAAAAAATCACAATGCAAATCATTTTTCAGATTCACCAACATACGTGGCCTCGTGTTCGAATATTCACAAAACCTCAATATACTCACAATTATTTTTTATGTAGAAGCTGTATTACTTAGGTGTATGTGAACTTCAAGCTAGCTCTAAATTTGACAATTCGAATCATTATAATGCACTCTCCAACATATATCAATAATCCAACGCTCATATTAGTTATAACTCCGACAATAATATCATTAAAAGCTAGCTGACATCTAAAGTGTCTGCACCATAATCAACTAGTTCTTGACATAACGTAAGAGGTTTTGACCGAAATATCTAGTTTTTTTACTCTCCATGAATCTTCATCTTAAGAATTTATTTAATTACAAGACGTATTGAACTTATGCAACCTTCAAGCTCTTGGTTGCTCACAGAAATCTGTGAGGGTATTAATAAATAATTTATATTTAAATCTCTCATGATAACTCCAACCAATGGCAGAGACAAAATCTGAAATTAGGTGTGTCTTCTTTTTTTTAACATAAAGATCACTTGCATTACCAAGGAAACACGAGTTACATCGATATTGCCCCCAACCGGAACAAAGCACAAAAATCAAAACCAGTACAACCAACAAGAAATAAAGAAAAAAAAATTCTAACCGCCAAGTTGACTACCTTATTATTTTGCCTTAAGTGTTTCATCTTTTCAAATAAAAATATATATTCAAAAATTATATTAAAATCCAGTAGAGACTATCCGAAAAAAGAGAGCCCAGTGGCTGAGGCTTCATGGGTGCAAGACAAAACCAAACAGGGTAATTGAGGGGGGGGGAAAGAACCGATTGGGAAAGGAGAAATTTTACAAGAAGCAAGCTCTAATGAAAGGAGAAATTTTACAATACTATATAGCATTGGTGTTATAGGTTTTTGTTTTTATGGTACAACTTGAAATTATATCAATACTATATAGCATGATAGAAGAGCTACTAGTGAAGTGATAAAATATTCTTGCGTTGTCTCAAAGTACTGAATTTAATCCCTTACAAAAACATACATAGGGAAGTTTTTTCTATACCAAAACTTACCTCGTTACCTGTGTTTCTGATAGTTTCCAAACCCCGTGCCTCCGCCAATGACTCCAACTATTGAAATAGTTTCTGATAGCTTGTATTTATATATTTTCGTACAAAATTTTTTACGGTATACAAATTAAACGTATATATTAACCTTATGATAAAAACTCAATTTTTTTCCTATAAATTCAACTTATACCTATACATTTTTCATATAAATTTTTCTATAACTTTTCGTACAAATTCCTCCATATTTACAAAATGAACTTATACCTGAAACAATAGGATACAAATTCGACCCGTATCTAAAAACACTGATACTCGTGGACATTATAAAATACCTCCATCCCTCGTTGACAGCTAAAGATGCATGCGCTAGCTTGCAACCAACATGATCATTCTTTTTTCTTCTTTTGTGAGTTCACACCTGTCAAATGCGGAATGATCCGCCTAGTTGGAATTGGGATGTTCCAGATCGTTTACCACTTGTTCACATTGAAACAAAATCCCAACGGATGTTAGGTTGGGGCATAGATTTATTTGGCGAGATCGTTCAATGACAATGCAAAATATATACATACATACATTATACAAATATGATGGTGATAACTAGAGCAACATACATGTGTTATGGATTGAAATATTTTTTGCAAACATCAATTCTGGCAAAAGCTTTGAATTCTACAATCTTAACAAATAAAAAATTGTGAAAACCCCAACCCAAATAATTCGTATGAGTTGGACTTAATTATTCAAACCTAACTAACTATCACTAAAGATATGTATTTGCAGCCCTTTTCCAAGATGCTAAGTATGCGTTTGAAATATACCTACCAACCACATTGACTTCTTTATCTTATTTACATAATTGTGTCTTTCTTTCAATTATTGCATCGTTGGTGGTAAGAAAGTGGTTAAATATCATACATGGGCCTCTTCCAACAACTCGAATTATTGAAACCGGTTGGTTTATGATATGGTATCAGAGTTGGTTTGTCCTTGATGTCACGACTCACGTGTTCAAGTCCTCACGACCCCCCAATATTAACTGTTGTCTTTCAAGCACATGGTATGGTTGGCCTGTGCAAATTTCAAGGCCATGAGTCGATTTTCGTTTGAAGGGGCGTGTAAGGAAATGGTTAAGGTTCATACATGAGCCTCTCCCAACAACTCGAGTTATTGGGACCAGTTGGTTTATGACATTCTTGGTTTTAACTGACAATTTTGTGTTCATAAGGTGCTGACCATGAAATGGATCTGAAGCTTCATCCTTGTCGGAAACAAAGTCACAAACTTAAGCCCGATATATGTTGAATTTTAATGGAATATAATCAATTTCTATTTTCCAGAAGTACATTACATCATCTTAACAAAAGATTAATAGAAATAATTGGATCTATATATTGATTAATCGTCAAGAACTTTATGTGCAACTCGAGTGAGGATCTGTAACTAATCAATATTGACCTATAGCATGATTCGAAAGGTTTTCTGACTTTCATCAATTAAGCCTCCTTGGACCATATGACCATTCACTACTGAAGAACTTAATGCAAGCAAGGAAATTTTCATTTCAATTATTTGGGTCGGAGCATAGACGAGTTTAAATACCAAAATAGACTCCAGAAAAGTATCTTCCAACTAAGCCCCTGCAAATGTCTCTCTCGACCCACGAACCTTGTATCACAATTCATGAATTTGATGGCCCAAAATGCTCGATATTCAAGCTCTATCGAAAGGTGACATGTCTTTCCATGCACAATCCAAAATAGAGAGGTGTCGGTTTACATCTTGAAGGTTATTTGAGTGTGTTGGAGTTTAAGTAGTGTTGAATTTTTTCTATGTTGAATTCAGGATAAGTATAATATAATGACTCTTTTCATATTTTCGGGCTAATCCGGGCTAAAATGGGTGACCCATTAACCCTTGACCCACAAGCTCGTCTGGGTCCGGGTCAACCCGCGGGTTGACAACCTTGCTGCATGTATTCATTTCTCTCACGAAGAAGCAAGTCATCGTCTTCGAGCCAAAACTGTTGATTTGACTATAACTGTTTCATTTTA